ATCAGAAATTCAGAAAGTAAATATAGAAATGGACAAAACCTAGAATAAAATCAATAAGAACTGATGGAACTCAAGAGTAAATTAAAAAGATAAACAGTATATAACAAAGGGAAAAAATACAGTGTGCCAGAAGGAGATTAGGTATATATTAAAATAAGCTTATTGAATAAAGATAGGAAAACAATTAAATGAGGAAAAGAGGACTTCAGAAGTAAAAAAAAGAGCGTAAAGAAAAAATAGTTGAAATGGACAACAGAAGAAAAATCCAAAATCCATGTAATCAAAGCCTCTAGTTCCTGGAGACAGAGAACAGGACTAATGTTTAAAACTGCGATGGAAGAATATTTCTGTAAGTAAGAAAAAAAAAATCTCAATCTGCATTCTAAAAGGACCTAAAAACACTGACAAACACTTTACTGAATCAGCTAAGATAGAAGCTTCCTGAATAAATTAGAAAACTATGACCATGACTCATAGGAATTTTAACACACGAGTATTAATACAAGACAAATCCATGTTTTTAAAAAAGAACATAGGGATTATCAAAGTTTGACAATAACCAGTAGGCCAATTATTCAGCCTCTTGTTTTTGTAACCAATTTTGTTAAATACAGCCACACTGACTAGGCTTTATTATTGTAAATGGACTAGTTGTTTTGAATAATACAGCAACAGAATTAAATAATTGTAACAGTGACCTTATGACCCACAAAACCTAAAATATGTATCCTCTGCTCCTTTTCAGAAAAAGTCTGCTGAATTCCTTCACAGGAAACCTAAGCAATGGTATTGATAAGGTAGCTCTTTAGACATTGCACTCTGATAATAGAAAATATGCCTTCTTTTCAAGTGTGTACGGAATACTCACAAAAATATATTTTGTAGGTGACAGAAAATGCCAGGTTCCATAAAGAAGAAACACAGCAACCATAATTCTTTCATAATGCCATTACACCCCAAAATTTAACACATGTAAGCTCCTCCACCTGGGATTGTTTATGGTTTGTTTGGTTTGGTTTTTTTGGTTTGGTTTTTGTTTTTGATTTTATAGTGCCACTGGGTTTCATGCGAGATAAGTGAGCAACCACTGAGTTACATTGTCAGCCCCCTCTTGGGAATTAAAAAAAAAAATTATAGATGTCTCATAAGTGAATGAGGAAATATAATAAAAATTAAATCACTTCTGGGAAATAACATAAAAAAACCTAGCTATCTGAATCTATCTGGTATATTTAAACCAGAGAACAGAGGAAAATTCATAGCCTTGAACAAATCTGCCAGTAAAAATAAAAATAAAAATAAATGAATTTCATATTCCCAATCAGAAATCCAGGAAAAGAACATCAAAGTAAACCAAAGAAAGTACAGGGAATGAGATAATAAAAGGAAGAAAAGCACAAAGAATTACAAAAATAGATCAGTTCAGCAAATCTAAATTGTGGTTTAAAGAAGTACAAGAGAAAAAAAAGGGAATATAATGGTAATATAAAGGGAAAGTACAAATAGAAAAACAAGGAGAAACAGCTATTGCTACAGAGAGGAAAATTATATGATTAACTTACATACTTATATGCAAATAAATTTGAAAGCCAAGATGAAGTGGATGGTTTTCTTTTTAAAAAAAAAAATTACTGGAATTAAATTGATGTCCATAGAAACTCTAGAGAAATTTATCCACAAACTGGTCCACAGGAAAGCACCAGAGGGAATCAACCAGACTCCCAAGGGAGTCAACTGGAAATTACAAGGTTGTCTAGAAGCAGAACTGCTTCAGGCATACAAACATTTATGAAGCAACATTTATGATACCAAAATATGGTAAAAAGAACACACAAAGAAAGTTAGGCCAGTGCCATTTAATGACTATTGAGGTAAAAATCTTTATTTTTTGATTTTTGAAAATAAAACAATTTCATAACAGAATAAAAATAGGTAATACACTGTGTATTATCTTCAAGTAGTTATTCAGACAAAAAAAGATCCTCTTACAAAGAATAGACAAAAAATAGCCCAAAACTATTTTCTATAAGCTAAGAGAAACTATGTGGATATAAAAATCTTAAATATCAGTGATCAGATCCTAAGAAAATAAAGTACATCATCACAAGTTTAATGCTAAAAGTGTAAGAATAATTTACCATAATAATAAGTCTAAGAGGAAAATTCCTAACAGTGCCCAAAAAACCTCTGACAAACATTTAACACTCGTTTCTAATAGAAACACTAAATTATAATAATAGTTTAGATACTTCTCTAATGTAGTGTATAAACACTTCCATACCAGAGTCAGCGTCTTAATGAGAAAACACTGCGGTATTCCCAGCAAGGTCAAGAAGAAGTCAGGAAAGTTGGCTTTCTCTATTGCTTAACATTCTGTTGGTGCTATGAGCCACTGCAGTTAGACAAGAGAAAACAATGGAAAGGAAGAAATAAAACTGTTTGTCAGTGATGTGATCAGATACTTAGAGAACTCTAAACAATGATTAATTCAGACAACAAGGTAATTCAGGCAGGTAGGCTACAAAAATAACATGAACATACCAGAAACTTTGCATGTATAATTAGCACTTGTAAGAAAATGGAACGGTCCCTCTAAAAGAGCAATAGAAAATAGATGATGTTTAATCAGTTTAACAAGTTTGTTAGTGAAATTTCTGTCATGGGGATAGATGAACTGAGAATAGCAAATTGAAGAAAGATTTGTTGGCTCACATTTTCTGAGGTTTTAGTCCATGGTTGGCTGGCTCTGAGACAGAAGATTATGGAAAGCTGCTTACCTTGTAGAAGCCAAAAAGCAGAGGATGAGAGTGTCCGAGGAAGGGGCTAGAGACAGATGTAGTCCCCAAAGTCATGCCCCTGTGATCCACTACCTTTAACTAGGCCTCACCTGTGTCTGTCACCTCCAGCAATTTCCATCAAATTACGAACTTTTCAGCACGCATGATCTAGTCACCTTCCAAAAGCCTTTGGTGAGGGGTGATAGGAACGAACAGGTCCTGTGTGTGGTGGTATGGACTTAGTTGTGTACTCCCTTCCCTAAATCCTGACCCCAAGTACTACAGGAAACAAGACCTGTAAGGAAGAAATTAAGTTATGGATTAAAACATTTTTCTGTGACTCAAAGTCCATATACAATAAAACATTGATACGCATGACTACCACAGATGAAACACTTTGGCACATAAACAAAAATAGGTTATAGTAAAATAATGTGCAACATATATTATAGGCTAATACATCACAAAGAGTGAAAAGGCCAAAAATGGGTGAGCAGAAAGACATAAGCAGTTGATGAAAGATATAAAAAAACACCCACTAGAAATACATGAAAGGCTGATCAACTTTCACCTTAAGAGAAACATAAATTTCACCAAAATACCATTTCCCACCCACAAGATTGCCCCCCCCCCCAAATGTTTGACAAAATCTGCTTGGAAAGGCTGGTGGGAAAGGCATACATAACTGCTGGCAGTGTGGAATGGTGCAACGCCCTACAAAGAGATATTGGAGGATAACGCAGTTAGATGTGCGTTTCTCCATTCACTCAGAATGTCTACAAGTAGGAGTTCAGCACAACATTACATGTAATGGTCAAGTATTGTAAATTATGTAAAGGCTTCAACAGGGAAGATCAATTGATAAACTTACTAGTTCTGAAAACAAATTGGGACGATCTCCATGCATTAATATAGTTATTTCTAGCATGCAGACTGCAGTCTACGATCTTTTGTTATGGCAGGCTAGCATGCAGTTATGTCTAATACAAAGTTACATCTAGTAGTGTATAAAAAAGCAAAGTTCTAAAGTATAGGTAGGCTTTCGTTTTGCTAAAATAAAGCATGTTTTTTTTTTCTTCGTCAAGAACAGGAAGGATTAGTAAATGAAACTGGTTGAGGAGGTTAGTGTGAGGAGGTTAGTACGAGGGGCCTGCATACAAGGGACATGCAGTTTAAAATGGAGTTTTCTCTCAGCTGAGGCCACAGGAGGAGGGCCTTGCGAGGCCTTTGTGGTTAGGAGGAGCCCTGTGGTGACCTGGTAGGAAGCTCCGGTTCTAATCCTGGTTCGGGCTGTGGATCTGACTATTGGCCGGTGCATCTGGTGGCTTGGCCTGGAGTTTTCGGAGGTTGGTGACCATGCTGATTGTCGGCTGCTCAGGTTCCTAACATACTGGAGCTTTTAGGATTGACAGGAGCAGTTTTTGCTTCTCACAGTTGTCTGCCTTTTGGGCCTTCATAACTTGAGTTTTTGGTTAGCAGAATGTGGGTTGCATTCCTGCATTTTCCTTGGCCTATCAGGCGGTGGTAAGGATTGTTGAGAAGTGGGTGGATTCATTCAGGTCCTTAGAGAAAAGATGTTGGCGAAATATGGCTACCAGGACTGGATGCAACATAAATTCTCACAGAACATCATAGTTTGTGTAATTAACTGTCTCTATTGGCCTTTGTTGTTTCTTTGTGTCTTCTTTTTGGGTGGGTAGGGGTACTAGGGATGGAACTCAGGAGTGTGGTGCCACTGAGCTACATCCCTGGCCCTTCACTGGCCTTTGACTATTATATGGCTCGCTGTATTTATCTCAACTTTATTTACTGTTTGTTTTAAAGTGAGTGTGTCAGTTAAAAACCCTTATCATTCAGTAATTATTAACTCAGTTCTTAGCAGGGCTGTGAAGTGGAATCGTCAGTGGTGATGTACTGTATAACCTTCAGTGTACTTTGGTTTTCAGTGAATGGAAAAATTAAGAATGGGAGAATTCCACATTTTTAACCTAAAAGGACATATTTTGCAGACTTTCCTCAGTTCATCCGTGCTACAGATTTCAGACATGCCATCCATGTACTTGCTCCTGAGTATAAAATGACTTTTCATTTGGGCTGTGCTTGAGTTGGCTCCTGGGCAGGATTCCGATAACTTGTCATGGGTTATGTTTCAGCTCTCCTGGAGATAGTTATCATTTTTCATCTTGTTCATTTTTGTCTTTCCCATTTATTTCCCTGTTTCAGTTCTTCCTCCAGTGCTGGTTCCAAGACACAGCGAATATAATCCTCAGCACAGCCTCCTAGCTCAGTTCCGTACCTTGGGACAAAACGAGCCTCACATGCCACTCAACGCTACTTTCCCGGATTCTTTCCAGCAACCCAACAGCCACCCATTTCCTCATTCTCCCAACAGCAGTTACCCAAACTCTCCCGGAAGCAGCAGCAGCACCTACCCTCACTCTCCTACCAGCTCAGACCCAGGCAGCCCCTTCCAGATGCCAGGTAGGAGGGAAAGCCCAGGGCGCTCTGTGGTCTGACCAGGTGGGGCGTGCCCAGCTTCGCGGGGCTTTGAGGGGCTTCGCGGGGAGGCAGCGTCCACGGAGCAGGCGCAGCGGGAGCTTCGCGGCTGGAGTCTGCCCTGTGCTCTGGCACTCCAGGGTAGCATTTGCGGAAGGAGACCCACAGCCAACGAAGCAAATGACTTGTTTTATCTGTCAGGCACAGATGCTTGAAGTAGCCATATTTCCCCCTTATTTTTAAGAAGTTTTGAAACAGCTGCATCCTTTGGGTGTGGCCTAATTGTTACAGTCTTTCTCTTGATAAAAGAAAAATAGTCTGTTTACACATGGAGCTTTTCTAAGAAGCACAGCCTCCATCAAGATCATTTCAGACTTGGAAAAACCCCTGCTGTAAGTGCACCCTCAGAAGAGATAGATCGTGAAGGATCACACACCCCCGTTTAATTAAATTTATTTAAATGGTGATGTAATCCCAAGAAACATATACTTTAACAACAAAGGGATTGCAACAGAAGTACTGGAAATCATCTGCTTGTTTAACTGTGCAAAGACAAAAGAACAATTATTTTCCTTTATTAGACACAACTGATGGTGTAATGGCTATCGAAAGAAGTGATTAATTAGGACATTACATTATTCAAATTATAGATTAATAAGCACCTTAGAGAACAATAGTATTAAATCTCTTGCCAGCAGATCTCAAGGATGCTCTGGTACTTGGAGTCAGCATTTAGGGAAGTGGAAATGACAGGGAAAAGATGTTTGTTAGGCTACTTAAAATGTTTTTGAGTAAATTTGAAATTATCAGCACTGGGCCATCAGAAATTGAGAAGTGGTCCACATTTTATATTTGTAATGCTTTTATTACTCCATTTTATTTTAAGTCCATTTCTTTTGCATTGTGTTGATTTTTCCAATCGAAAACTGAGAAGAAAGTGGAGGATAGAGTAATTTAAAAATAAAAAATTCAGCGGTTCGGTGGCCTGCCTTGCAAGCGCAAAGACCCAAGTTCAATCCCCAGTACCCCCCAAAAAAAAATCAAATTGATAATATTTGGTGATTTCTTGTCCATCCTACTCCCTTGCAAACCCTGGGCAGTTGATGGTTAGGTTAGTGGTGAGGAGATAAGTTTCAGAGGTATTTTCAGCAGTGGCATACCCCGGAGAGCTCAGCTGAAAAACCTGAAGATTATTGCTTCAATTCCCATTTTCTCCTTGGCTGTTGGGGATTAATGGACAGACCAAGTAGAAGAAACATGGAAAAGGGAAAGGAGGAAGCACTTGGAAATAAAAGAACAGCACCTGTAATTATCTCACCCCTCTGAGCGGTGCTCATGTTACAGATTGCCAGTGAAATTTCACCAGCTCACTGGCAGGAATACATTGGATTCGGGTCAGAGGAGGCCATCTTCCCTACAGCATAGGGAAGAAGCTGAACTTAAATGAGCAGGAGAAAGGGCCAAACAGTATCCCAGTGAGGTCCCGACCTGTGGTCCCACCCTGTGCTGGCGGTCACTGCTTGTGAGCAGGCAGACCATGGTGGAGTTTGGGGTTCAGTGAGTCAGTGGGAAACCACTGAAAAGCCAGAAGGAGCAGTGTTAGTTATGGGTTCTGTGGTCACCCTGGGTTCTAATCCAAGCATTCCTGATTCCCTGAGATAAAAATTGATTCCCAAGGCTGTGTCGCATATGCTGGATGGGCTCAGAAAAGCCAGTGAGGAACTGAAGTTTCGACCGCAAAAGATTGTTTATAAGAAAACACCAGACTTGTGTTAGTACTTGTTGTTTCGGGAGTCATCTTGTTTGCCAGCTGTCTGCTCTTCAGAAGAAACCTGTATATAAATTCTGCAATAGAAAATAGCAGTATAAACTGATTTGTTTTCTATTATTTTGTTCCTAGAAATTTTAAAGTGAGTGATTATTTAAGTGGGTAGGGAGAAGATAGATCTAACAGATTGCTCAAAGTCCTGGAAAATTAACAGTCGAAATCAGTAGGCTGTAGTGAAACTCAGCTGGCAAATTCCTAAAAGCCCATACATGTTAGACAAGAGACCCTGAAGATGCCTTTTTCTTAATAAGTGCCACGTATGGTAGCTTTGAAATGTTTTCCACCCACTCATAAAAGTGAAGTGCAGGTCTTCTCAGAATGGACTGCAGGAGAGTACACTTAACTGTTTTTTAAGTGATCCTGGATAAACAGCTCCTGGAACTGCCGTACATCACTTTTCTTCCCATTCCATTGGCACTAAAGACGCAGAAGATTTAGGGATGGTAATAGTTTTCAGAAGTTGTACATTGAGCTCAGTGTCTGTAGCATCCAGTCTTTTGATGAAATTAAAATGGCAACTTGATCGCTTAAGGACTTCATTTCATAAGAGAATGTTTTAAGCATAATTTTTAAAACTTTGCAGCTGATACGCCTCCGCCTGCCTACCTGCCTCCTGAAGACCCCATGACTCAGGATGGCTCTCAGCCAATGGACACAAATATGATGGCGCCTTCACTGCCCTCTGAAATCAACAGAGGAGGTAAAATGAGTTGCTACTTGTTTCCTTTTCAGAGTCTAAAGCAGCGGGCCCCCAGCCTCTGAGGAATCAGGAAGCAGTTTCATGGAAAATTTGTTTTTCCACAGATGGGAGCCTAGGAAATGGTTTTGGTATAATTCAAGTACATTACATTCATTTTATACTTTATTTCTATTAGAATTACATTAAGATTCACGTAAGTAGCAGTGCAACCTCGCTCCCTGGCACATGCAGTTCACAGTAGGGTTTGCTCTCCTGTGAGAATCTCATACTGCTGCTGGTCTGACAAGAGGCAGAGCTCAGGTGATGATGAGCTGTGAATACAGGCGAAGCCTCACTCAGTTGCCCACCACTCACCTCCTGATATGCAGCCCATATCCTAACAGACCACGGACCAGTACCAGTGGGCCAGGAGTTGGTACCCCTGGTCTAAAGTCTATACATGGAAGTGTTAGTTTCTCTCACAAACATCTATTAGTTTTTAAAAGAATAGCTATTTGAGATAGGTGGAGGAGCTCTAAAAACATACTTTGCAGAATAAAAATGTCCTTTAAGCAAATACACTGTCTTTACTACCAAAAGCCCAAGTATAATAGTGTGGGTCATCTGTGTAGATCTTCAGTACTTACTCATTTAGAATCGGTGATGTGAAGGATATTTTTAAGTAGACAAGGGGGCTCAGGAAACAACATAACTCCATGACTTTCAGCATTGAAAGTTCTATGCCTGACGTTTCCACAAGGTTTGTGGTTAGAAAAGATATCCTTAAGTCCTCTTTTCCAGCCCTTCATTTAAGTATCCCTGCAACTGAAACTGCCAACTAGCATTTGTTTCTAGGTGTATTTGCTTCTAATTGAAATAAATAAGTATAGCAAGAAAAGAAATGGAGCCATAAGTTTGGCCATTCCTCCCCTTGAAGCTGGGCGTTTCTTTGTCTGTAGTGAGGGGTGGGTCTTTATCTCCTCCATATTATCTTTGACAGTGACTGAGTGGAGGATGCTGTTTCTTCCAAGTTGTCAAGTGCCAGTTTAGTGGTCTTATGTGAGAGGAGAGCTCAGGTGATTAAGTGTTGGAAGCCTGGAGCACCTAGAAGAAGCTGTGGTCATGATGGGAATTAAACTATTCCCAGACCAAATCTTAGGGAACAAATCGCTTCACTGGTGCCCTTAACACCTGGCACAAGTTATTCAGTTTGTATAAACGCCATGTAAATTGAAGTTAAAATACAACTTGATTGCTAAATATGTCTTATTATTAGCAGATTCTTTGTTCAAATAGGAGATACCTCAGACATTGTGAGAGTTGTTGGGTTTTTGTTTTCGTTTTTGTTTTTGTTTTTTGTGGGGAGTACAAGGGATTGAACACAGTTCCTTTGCACTAAGCTACATCCCCAACCTGTTTTTATTTTTTAATTTTGAGACAAGGTGTTGGTTAAGTTGTCCAGACTGGGTTCTAACTTGGGATCCTCTGCCTCAGCTTCCCAGACTGCTGGGATTATAGGAATGGGCCACCACATTTGCTTTGCTTGTATTCTTTAAGTACGAAAACTTGGTGATGTCTGTGTGATACAGTAGTAATAGCTGCATGTCATTGTGTACATTTGTCCAAATCCATGGAATTTACCACACCAAGAATGAACCCTAATCTAAATTATGGACTTGGGTGATAATTATGTATCAGTATAGATCCCTTGATGCCAGGGAAGGCTGTGCATTTGTAGGAGCAGGAGGCATATGGAAATCTCTGTACTTCATCCTCAAGCTGGCTGTGAACTTAAACATGCTCTTTAAAAATTAATTTTTAAAAATGATGATAAACTCACAGAACCATTTTAACTATAGAGTTTGAGAAATTGTGATGTACAACTCTTTAATCAGTAAAACTTTTAGAATCTCTTTTGACTCCATTTTATGGTTCCTCATCATTTCTAGAACATAGAAACATGTAACTACAAATCAACAACGACTTGGGTTGGGAAAACAACCCCTGTCTCACACATTTTGGGGACTTGTGTTTGGGGAGGATGGCAGAACAGAATGGGCACAATGCTGCATGGTGTTACAAGTGTGGGGACCCTTCACCATTGTCACTGAACTTAAAATGTCAAAGCCAAGAAGTGGACATAGCTTTAAGATTTTTTTCTTGTAAATCACCCTTAAAATTTTCCGTTTGGGCAACTTTTCAGTCAATTTTTTCATAAGGAAGAAAATGTAGACCTTTTTCTTGTTTCCTTCAGTGGTTTTCTTAGAGCAGGGGTCAGCAAACTAGCCTGCTGCCTGGTTTGTGTAAATAAAGCTTTATTGGAATACAGCTGTGTTCATTCATTGAATATTATCTATGATTGCTTTTGCAGTGCAAAGGCAGAGTTTTGCTAGCAACCATATGTTCCACAAAATCTTTCCAGCCTTTTATAGAAAAAATTGTATGCCTCTGACCTAGATGAGTAGTATTCTGAATAATCTGGAGAGCTGATAAAAAGCCTTCTGGTATTGATTTTTTAGCCTTCTTTAAGATATGTCACTTATAGAGCCAGGGATTTAGCTCAGCAGTTTGGTGGCCTGCCTTGCAAGTGCAAGGACCCGAGTTCAATCCCCGGTACCAAAAAAAAAAGATTTGTCACTTACAAATCACTAATATTTTGCTCTTTGAAGTACACCAGATTGACGGGGGAGTTGCTTATCAAATGGAAAATAGTGTGTGCTTTAAGATGACCTACTTAAGTATATAAAGCAACCAATGTATGGGTTTTTAAATTATCATTTTCCTTGTTTTCCTTGCCAAGTTCTAAAGTAAAGCGCATTTTAGTATTTGTGGAGGTTGATGTTAAGAGCACAGAGGTACTTGTCACTGAACAGCGCCTTTGATGTGGATTTTCTTCAATTTTTTATGATTGTACTCCCAAGACTTCATAAACCTCAGATCACTATATATTGGTTTGCTGGAAATATTACGGTTTGTATTCTTGGAATCTCTAAAGCAGCAGTACAAGAGATTTTACTACAGATGGAACTTATCTTTAAAACCTTTTAGTTGCAAGTGTTTAGAAGCATGTTCTGTTTGGAGATTTGTTAGTCTTAAGAGATTTGACTTAACAAGCTGCATCCTGTCAGTAAAGTTGGGTAATTTCCATTGTTGGCCCATTCTGGGAATGGAGAGACAAAACACACCTGCTCTGCATGACTTAAAGCAAATATAAGGAAGTTAGCATGAAATCTGGATGAGAGAGATATGATTCATTCTGTAAGAATGGCCAGCTGGCAAGATTTCTTCCTGAGTTGGAGAACTAGAGCAACACCAGAGCTGTGATCATTATTGGCAACGTGACATGAAGTAAAGTAACTTCTTATCAATAATTAAAAACTGATTTTTATTGCTTTAAAAAAGCATAGGTGCACCAAGGCTGTGCCAAAAGTAAGTTTTTTATGCCAGTACCCTTGACAGATCTCTGGGCCTCTCTTGTTCTCCTCGGACCACTTGTTTTTTCCGTTTGTGGCTTGTTGCGCTTCTTTGGATGGTGAGCCAGCCTCTGTCTGTAGTAGGGTGATTTGCATTTCTGCATACTAAAGCACACATAGCATCTTGTTAGCATTCAGCAGGCGCTGCTGCTAGGCTTGCTTAGCTGGTGCTTTGGTTTTCGATAGTAATTGCAGAAAAATGTTTTCCATCTAAGGGAGAGTGTCACACTTAATAAGCACCCACTTAAGACATCACAGCAAAACTGTAGGCCTTGTCATCGCACTTGCCCTCCCACATCTTCATTCCGTGATCCTGGGCCAGTTTTACAACACTAGTTTTTGAGGGCCTGAGGCACAAACCTTGGTTGATAGAACCTTTTCTTTTTTACAGATGTTCAGGCAGTTGCTTATGAGGAACCAAAACACTGGTGCTCCATTGTCTACTATGAGCTCAATAACCGTGTGGGTGAAGCGTTCCACGCCTCCTCCACAAGTGTGTTGGTGGACGGCTTCACCGATCCTTCCAACAATAAGAACCGTTTCTGCCTTGGGCTGCTCTCCAACGTTAACCGGAATTCCACAATCGAAAACACCAGGCGGCACATTGGGAAAGGTGAGCCTGCGCTCTGACCCCTGTGGGGTCGTTCATCAGTTGTGTCCTTCTTCCCCTGGAGGTAACTCAGTCATTCCTGTGACCAACTGGCATTGCAAAGAGCAGGTAACATTCAGTTGGTACCATGTGGATACATTTTCACATTTGTACTGTTTGGAAATTCTTCCAGTCAGTAATTTTTATGATATCCCCTTTTTATGATGTCTTATGATATCGAATTAGCTGAAAGTGTGATTTGTTATTTGGGGGGCAGTATTCTATCTTATGTTTTTCTGCAGAAGAGTCTCTTTGGTAGATTCAATTATTTAGTAGTGGATGAGTGATACAATTTTGTATCTTTTACTTGTATTATAAGATTAAACAACCCACAATGAATATATTTATTATGTATGGCAAACATATACTAATAAATCTCATTTTATTAAGGAAATGACTAAATGTATTGACTGTTGCTCAGTGCCTGATTTTCCTTGTGGAATGAGGGACCTATGTACGTGAAGGAGGGCAAAAGATAAATATTGTGGAGATAAATGGAGATATCGGTGGGCAGTCATAATTTTAATAATGCAAGTATGTTTATATTCTCATATATACTGTTATGTCTGTGTAAACCTATGTGTATATGTGTCTAAATATGTACTTTCTGATCTGTCTGCTGGATGCACCAAGAAGCAAAGACACTTACCAGTAAAAGGCACATCTTGTATCTAGATCATCAGTTCTGCTGATGCCATTTCCCTTGAAGAGGAACCAGGGCTCTTTAGAGAAATGACTGGCTCCAAGGCTGGGTCAAGATGAGCTTGGAAAATCTTATTATGGCAGAAAGTAAAGCAAACACTTGTATACATGACGGAGCATGTCACAGGAGCCGGCCTAGAGGGGCTTCCCCCATGTGGCTCTCAGTTTGAACACAAAATAGTCATCCTCTGGTATCCATGGGGGATGTGCTCAGGATCCTGAATAAATAAGTATACCCTCCCATATGTTTTATATTCTCTCTAGGTGAGTTACATCTAACACAGTGTAAATGCTCTCTGTTATCTGTAAATAAGAGTTGTATTGTTTGGTTAGGGAATCACAACAAAGTAGAAAAGTCTATATGTGTCTGGTATAGATTCTGGTATTTTTCTGAGAATGATTGAATCTGTGGATTCGTAATCTTCAGATATCATGGGGCAACTATAATTAAGTGCAGTTAATGAAAATAATATAAATTAAGTAATGAATTTTAATTCATTTAAAAAATCCTAATTCACATGTGCATAACAAGAATAAATAGATAAATAAGTGAATTGAGAAGACCCATTGATAAATGTAGAGTGAGTTGTAGAGAACTAGCATTTTGCAGCCAACATAATAAGGAATCAAGCAAGAATTGTCAGTGAATGTTAAATATATATGAACTTTTTAAAATTATAAGCATCAGGATACTTGCATGGCTTTAGGTATTTCCCCACAAACTGCCTATTAGATACAGGGACACTAAAAAGCCATAATTACATAGTGGAGAAGTCGTATAATTTGTAATTGTATAATTGACCCCTGTCTTGACTGTGGATCAAGCTTATCGCTGCTGATGAGAGACAAATGTAAATCATTCATCTCCAGATGTGATACCCAGGGAAGGCCCGAGCATCGTCTGTGTAGAATGCCAGCTGGGAATGCAAATCTCAGCCTGTCCTGAGGAAACTTCAGATAAACCCCAGATGGGGAACATTCTGTTTTAAAAAGTGAGGAGTAGCTGCATCTGTCAAAAGACAGAGATGTAGCAGTGTTTCAGAATAAAATGAGCTGGACATGATCCTGTACCAGACAGGGAACAAATACTATAAAGGACATTATTGAGTCAGCAGGCGAAACTGGAATATTAACGTTAGATAAAAATGTTATGTCAACGTTAAAGTGCTGACAATGCTATCTACTGTGGCTTGTAAGAAGCTATTTTACATAATTCTTAGAAAATACACACTTTCACAGTTGGGTATATCAGGGTAAAGAACTGTGATGAAGTAGTTGAGAAAGATTACACACACACACACACACAGGCACTGAAACAGTTTTAGGAAGACCATAAGATTTGATATATACAGTGGTGTCTCAGTTTACGAACTTAATTTGCTTTATGATTTTGGGGAAAGTGGCTGTGTTAGGTTTGTGTGGGGAAGATGGCCGTGGCTTGGCACTCAATGTGGAATATGTGAACAGAAACAAAATTGTGCCCAACCCTTTAGTTTAAAAACCAAATTATTTGCAAACAGAAGCGTTCATTAACCAACATTGTATATATACACATGTTTTTTTCTCTACATATAAAGTAATGATTTACTCACCACCTGTCTGGATCTGTCACACAATCCTGTGTCAGAATGCATACAGGTGTGTGTGTGTGTACACGTTGGGGAAGGGGTGTGCAAATGACAAAGCACATGAAGTAAATTGTCGCAGTGGATGAATCTGGATGATGGCATACAAGTGCTTATTCTTTTTCTTTGTTCTATTTTAATTTTTTCCTGCAAGTTTAAAATTATTTATTTTTGGAATAAAAGGTTTTTTTTAAATGATCTATGAAATCTATAGTAGTGAGCCAGATCGCAAGGTTTTAATAGATGCTTAAAATTTTAACATTTAATTTTAGGAGTGGAGGGAGACCCGATAGCTCTTAAAGCGGTAATTGGTATTTTCTTACTATGATTAAAGGAAACAAACCCTAAACAACACATTTAGTCATGAAATACTAAAGTCAGGTTCATAAATACCTTTCTGTAGTTTTTAAACCCCTGAAATTATATTTAGGTACAATTTTGCATTTGAAATAGAAGGACTTATTTTTCAGTAAATTGTAAAGTGACTATTCCCCGACAGTAGTAAAAAGCCATTGTACAATTTCCTCTTAGCAAAGTAGAAAATTAGGATTCTGGAAATGCTGTAACTTATAATTGTTCCAGATGCCCTGGAATAGTGTACGCAAATGTAGAAATAGAGATAATGAAAATAAGCCAGGATTATCATTATTTGCAGATGACAGGATTGGTTGATAATATTCTTGGGATCAGTTCTTGAAGTGAAATTAAAAGACCAAAAGCTCTCGATATATTTTGCCAGTTTGCTTTCCAGAAAGCTCCTAATAATTTTCACACCTAGCAGAAGTGTACAAGTGCCTCTGATTTCACCCATACCAGTATCATGGATGAGCAGCGTGTATTCATTGTCATTGTTTATCCAGAAGCTGCCAAAGAATCTGTTTTGTTGTTGTTTTTCAGACAGAGTCTGGCCTTGAACTCACAGTGATCCTCCTCCCTCAGCTTCCCAACCGCTGGGAATACGGGCATGTGCCCTCATGCCTGGCAAAGAATCCATTTTTGAAAAAATTATGTTAGTTGCCCTTAATCTGGCAGTAACAATTTAGAAAATGTAACAGGATGGGGTGAGGGGATTGTGTTTATAATAGCAACAGGAAACAGATTTCTAGGAATAAATCTAAACCTGCAATACGTGAGAATTACATAAAGGAAATCTAATATACTGAGAGAAAAAGAAAATTTGAAAAAAAAAGTCAGTCTGGCTTCCTTCAAAGGAAGGCTTAATACTGTAAAAGCATTTTAAGATATTTGTCCTAATTTAATTTTTAATTTAAAGCAAACTATAACTTTTTGTAATTTGAGTAATATATTAATGTATTCTGAGTATTGGATGAATAAAAAAGTGAGAATAGTTCAGATTTTTTAATGAATGAGTAAAAACAATTCCTGATACTGGGGTTGATAAAACATTGTAAAAACTACAAATAAACCAGTGTGTTGACAAAGCAATAGATTAAATTAAACTCAAACTGTACTGTATATAAAAATTTAATGTTGTTAAATGAAACATAAAAACCCAGTAGAATCTTCTAATGGTCCTACAGTAACAAAAGTTGGCTTTTGGAAGGCTGAGGGGAAGAAACCTTGACCACATATATAGGCATTGATGAATATTTTTTAAAAGATGAAAAGGTAGAAGAAAATAGATTTGATCAAAGAGGTAGAAATGTTTTAAAGATATAAGGCAATAGGAAAGATCATAAGAGATTTGAATAAAGGATTTCAGACTTCTCTAGATTAAAAAGTGTATATCATGAACAAAATTAAGACAAAGGACTAACAGGTAAACAAGAAAAACAAGAAAAAAGATATTTATATCCTGCTTATATGCACAGCTTATAAAAAAATGACAAATACAGAACCCCAGTGGGATAACCAGGTAAGAAGCACAGTGAATTCATAGCAGAAACAGGTGGCTAATAAATTAGGAGAGCACATCCAGCCTAAAGCATTCGTATGTATTTTTGAACTATAAATGAAGGGAATTTTACTCTCGTTTAAGCTCAGATTCGGTACTGGCGTGGGCCGAGTGAGAAGAGCACCCACATGCTGCCCGTGAGGGTGTACAGTGCTAATGCATTCGGGAAAGCCATTTGGCAAAGTGAATCAAAGGCCTTCAACCCAGTGATTTAACTTCCAGGAATGTCTCTCGTGAGGGTATTATTTAAAAATCATCCAGGGACATTTATCACGTCATTGTTATAACAACAGAAAATTAGTGTCAACACAATGGTCTGCTAATGGGAAAATTGTTAAGTAAGTTGTCCTGTCCATACCAGCACACATGTGTTTGTGTTTGCAAAGAGATGGTGTGATACCCAAACTGAATGCAGTGTTTCAAACTATTAATGGTTAATATCTCTGCGTTACTGACAGAGGGATAATATTTTCTGCTTCTTTATATTTTTACTTTAAATTTTTCTAAAGTGAAAGTTTATGATCATGGAAGAACTCTTTTATCTCAGTTCTCCCCGTGTCAGGCTGAAAAATGGGTATCTACCTCAGTAGCTGTTTAATTGTTACTGAAGTGTTAACCCTTGCGTGTATAATTGTTCACCACACATAGTATTCCATAGGAGATAATTCTTTCAGTCTTGACTGTGGCAGGGCAGTTACCTGCAAGGAGTATGCTTTAAAGCCACATGTGGAATATGTCACTGTACGCTGAGTGGCCCATGTTAATCTGCTGTAGTGGGGTAGGGCTTTGTCAGGGGAGTTTTCTGTGTTCCTCTTAAAGGCTAGGCCAGATGAAATCACCTGCACTCCTGGAACTCCGTGTTTCGCAGGAAGTCTGCAGCAGCTGTTAGTTTGGTGAGCTCTTAACTTTACTCATGAAGGCTTTTTTATAATGTTGACACTTTTTTGTTGCTAGACCTAGTGTCTTAACAGCTCCTAGTAATACTTCTTCCACTTCTGGTTTCCTCTCCAGGTTTCTTGATCTTCCCTACTCTAAAATTTTGCAAGCAGTTTAGATGCAGAATGAATGTAAGACACTTACATGGTGACTACATGTAGGATCCCACAGTAAAGTCCAGGTTTTATTGTCTGATATTTTTAGAGCGAGAAAACACTTTCAACCATGGCCAAGTAAGGTATCAAATCCTTACCAAAACCAAATTGTTGTATTTTAGGGTTTTTTTTGGTGGGTTTGCATCTTTTTTTGTGGGGGGTATCCTGGAGATTGAACCCAGGTCCTTCACATTGAATGCGGCTGTTTTTTTAATTTTATATTTTTTATTTTGAGTTAAGAATCTCATCAAGTGAGGTTCTCTAAGCTGGGCTTGAGTGAACAATCCTTCTTCCTCACCCTCCTAGAGCAGTGGAATTATAGGTGTATACTACTACACCCAGCTGAAATTGTTACACTCGACTTATTCTTTCCTAGAAACCTCTCAGACATACTTGTGACACGTGGATGTTATACTAGGATTTCATCCATTGTGTAGGACTCACAGAACATCTAACCAGAGTTTAAGTCCATACAAATGTATACTTCTGTGTTACAGTTGCACAGGTGCCTTTCAACTATAAAAGAACGATATGCTCTGTCTTCCTACAGGCGTTCATCTCTATTATGTTGGAGGGGAGGTGTATGCCGAATGCCTCAGTGACAGTAGCATCTTCGTGCAAAGTCGGAACTGCAACTACCATCACGGATTTCATCCCACTACTGTCTGCAAAATCCCTAGTGGATGTAGTTTAAAAATCTTTAACAACCAAGAATTTGCTCAGTTATTGGCACAGTCTGTGAACCATGGTTTCGAAACAGTCTATGAGCTCACAAAAATGTGCACTATTCGCATGAGTTTTGTGAAGGTAAGTGAACTTAGGCTTCTCTAGTGTGGTCTTGACACATTTTGCTGTGCTTTCTCGTATATATATATATATAACTTTATATCCTCTTGTTACTATGTCCATTGATTACCTAGGGATTTTAAAACTTTAACAAGAATGTCAGTTACTAGGGGAATATCATTGGAACATCATACTGATACTTGTGCAAAGTATCAGTAGCAGTAGCTTTTAGTAATCTTTATTCAGATAGCACTGTTTTAGCTATTATGATACTATTAGAATATATTATGTATTTAAACTATGGTTTCAATATATGGTTGTTTTAGAACAGTTGAATAATAAATGCATCTTCCTTTTCATTCTTTGATTTTAGTGGGACTTTCATGACAATAACACTTGCTGATTTTGATTTCAACAGTAAGCAAGTGATCTCTTTGTAAAAATAAAAGTCTGTATCATTGCAAATTAATTTTTGGCTGCTTAGTCTCTTTTTTAATTGTTTCTAGTAAATTTCATGTTTTTAACACCATTCACAAGTTAGTAGGATATTGCCTAAAAATATAGATGCCTTGTAAGCTCTAAGAGTAAATGGTGAGGGTTAAGGATGGAACAGGTTGAAGACATTGTTTATAGTAATGGAACTCTTTGCTGTCTTTGTCTCTGAAATCCGAAGGTTTTTAAGGAGCCACTGAACTCTTAAAATCTTTTAAATACCTGATTAGATTTCATGAGTTGGTGACTTGTCCTAAGAAGTTGTCTCTGAATGCTCAAAGATAAATTATCATCCTCTGCTACTCTGAGAAACAGAACTAATTACATACTTGGGTGAGGCAGTCAGCTTTTTTGTTCTCTTCAGAAGCTCACCTAACTTGTTGTTAAACCTGTTTTGTAATGCATTTATTACTGAAGATAATTTTGGAACCTTAGTTAATTATCCTCTAGATCAAAGGTATCCTTCCCTGAATATGACTTTTTTTCCACTTCTTTGAATCATCTTAGCAGATTCTCAGTATGTTCTCTTACTGCTTCTTTTCTCAAAATGTAATTCAACATTTCTCTGCAGCTGAGTCTGGTACCTCTTAAACGTTCTTAGGATTTTTTTTTTAACCCCTTGAAGAGGTTGACCTATATGCCCATGTATACATGAGACTATAAATACTTTTCTTACTCATCTTTAACATTCACTGTTTCATTTTTGACTGAGCATTTTGGCTCAGATGATTTTTAAAGTGAGTATAATGAGTTGCCAGAAGCGTTTTTCCTTTGTATTATCTTGGAGGAAAGAACAGCACTAGAGAATTGGGATGTGCAGCTTCTAGTTCTCTCTGCCGCTTGGGCAGTGTGTTTAAGGTGCGGGGCTCTTCTCTGGGCCTTAGTTCTGCGTGGGGTTGGTGGAGTTGGGACCATGGCAGGTGTTCCTAAGATCCGCTGATGAGTCTTACTGAAGGACCACTCTAGAAGAATTTGACTCTAAGGCCTAGCGTAGCTTTCTCCCAAGATTCATTTCATGTTGATTACCCAATCAATTTTAACAATTTTACTTTTGTACTGTATTGATATTTTACTTTAACACAAGTAAAAGCCACCTTAACACTAATAAAGAGTACTTGTAATGCACTAGCGTGGAAAGTTATGCAAGATATAATGGACATAGCTGGGAAGCTGGATTTAGGGAGTTGAAGATAGATCTCATTAAAAAAACTCTTGCCAACAGGGTAAAGGATTATCATATATTAACAATAAAACAAGTGCACACTGTTTTTACAACATTGATCATACTTTATCCTCTGTGTACTTTATCCTTTCCCGCTCGACACCTTGGAGAAATGATACAGAAGATTTTACTAATATTACTAATATTGTTAATACTAATGTTACTAATAGGCAATTTTATATTATTTTTATGATGATCATTTTTGGGCGTTGATATGGAAAATATATTTCATACATTTATTTTCACCTTAAGCCCTCCTATGTCCAAAAAAGCCCAAATCAGTTCTGTTAAACAAGTATTTGTAGATCTTCCGCTCTGTAGGGTGACTGTGCTGAATATTGGAGGTCAGAGATCACTAACTCCCTTCAAGAAGCTAACTGGCTAATGGAGATAAACCTACATTAACTTAACAGTTACTGATGTATGTACAGTGTTATATACATACATCACAGCTTCTTCCAGAAAGTTCTCATACTCACAAGCTTTATATCTTTGCAGTAGAAAAATTACTTTTCTCTCTTTGATAGTGGATTTAGCAGTACTTAGATGGATCCGCCAGGTTTTGCTTAGAGATTGAAAGATCAAGTGGTTTGTGTTGCCACTGCCTCAGTCAAGTTGACTGCTTGAATAGGGAAGAAACAACGTCTATCTGTAAGCCTCTCCTTTTGCTGATAATAAAGTGAGAATTTAATAATAGTATAATGGGAAATAAATATGTAAGTTAAAAATATCTTCATTAAAATAACTTTATAATATATTTTAAAACATTCACACTTTAATTTCCTAAGACGAATTCTTAATCTGGAATCCATGGCCGGACTTTGGATGGCCAGCACACAGGTATCCCTTGAGATTGTTTGCTAAATTACATGCTTGCGTGTGTGTACATTTCTTGTGGGAGAAGTTCAAAGCTTTAATCAGCTTCTGACTATGCGAACACTTTTTCCTTAATAAATCAAACCACCAAGTTAAATAAGTTTAATGACCCTTGCTATGTTATTTCTAGGGCTGGGGAGCAGAATACCACCGCCAGGATGTTACCAGCACCCCCTGCTGGATTGAGATACACCTGCACGGCCCACTCCAATGGCTGGATAAAGTTCTCACCCAGATGGGTTCACCTCATAATCCTATTTCATCGGTGTCTTAAATGGCCTCAGGCTTCTGCGGTTTGAAGACTATTGAGCCTTGCATGTACTTGAAGGATGGATCAGTCAGACACAATGGAGAGCTGACAAAGGAGCCTCGATAATACTTGACCTCTGTGACCAACTGTTGGATTCAGAAATTTTAAAACCTTGGTAACATACTGTTGATATCAAGAACCTGTTTAGTTTACATTGTAACATTCTGTTGTAAAATCAACTAAAATGCAGACTTTTAGCAGGACATTGTGTATAGTTAAGAGATGGCCAAGCCAAGGACAAATTATCTATTAGAAAAATGGTCCTAAGAGATGCTTTTGTGTTTGGCACTTTAAGGCCATCATTTGGCGGTTTAGCATTAATAGTCTTTCTGAAGTGTGTTTTTATCAGTTTTAGAGCCCATGTTGAAATTTTTCATAATATTTTAAAACTATTTGTTGAGTAATGGTTTTGTTTTTTAAGTAAAGGTTAATCTTTATGATATACATAGTAATCTTTCTAAAATTGTATGCTGACCATACTGCTGTCAGAATAATGTTAGGCATATGCTCTTTGCTAAATATGTATGTACAGAATATTTGGAAGTTAAGAATTGATTAGACTAGTGAATTTAGGAATATTTGAGGAGGGTGGGGGAGAGGGAAATGACAACTGCAAATATAGAACATGCTGTAAAACTTCAGTTTGTTGCCTTAAAGAAGCAAACTGATGTCTGAATTTTGCTGTGTTTCAAATTTTTTTAGAGATTTTTATCCTACATCTTTTTCTTGTTTTGTCGGCATTCTTCTAGCCCATCCTCTCCAAAAAGTAGTTATACAGCTGGTTAATTCATATAACGGTGAGAGCAAGTGAGTAATTCCTGCCATACTGAAATTGACTGTGTATTTAAAAACCAATCATATGGAGTGCTTGAATTTAACAAGCAGTTTTTATGGAGTTTACAGAAATAGGCTTTAATTTTCAAGTGAATTGTTTGCCAAACAGAGTAACTGTTAAATACTTGGAGGATTTAAAAAGCATCCCTATTTAAACTTGTTTCAAACTTTTTAAATTTTTTTGTACTATGTTTGGTTCTTTTCTTCTGTTAATCTTTTATATTCACTTAATGCTCTCGTACATGAGTACTTTTATTCCAAAAGTAGTGGGTTTTCTCTACTGGAAATTTTAAATAAACCTGTCATTATTGCTTACTTTGATTAAAAATTTGTTACTTCCTTTCTTTGTATATTAGATTTAAGGATCAGTAAGATTTACCACTCTTTTGAGTTTTTTTTATCAGATACTCCCTGCCAAACAAAACAAGCTCAATTATTAGAGCAATGGGGAGCTTGAATTGTGAAGGGAGCAACAGCCACTAAATTAGAAGAGGAAGGACATGTAGACTTGAAAAATTAACTTTTAAAAATAGTAAAATCTAAATGTATAAGCCTTTGAATATGAGGAAATACAACAGCAGCAATTATTAATAGGTACCATTCAGTCAGCCAAAAGAACAAATTTCTATTTTTCGTATGAGAAATAGAGATGACCAAGGAAGAGAAAGTAACTTCTGTCATTTTCTTATGATTGGGATGATCCAGCACTGTCCCCAGGCAAGGAGTGTGGGGGTCTGCCCAGGTGTAACATAGATTGTGAGGACGCTTGCATTCTGGCCAAAATGATGCCACCCTTCTCCTTTACACGTTTATATACTTTTCCTGGAATGTATAGAAGCCTTAACATTTAAGGATTCTTTTCCTCTCCCCGCCATTTTTTAAACCCTAAAATATAGCATCTTGCTGTTTCCCCTATAAATGTACAATGTTTATTCTCCAAGTCATGACCATGCAAAACTCTCTGCTAAGTTTATTGTTGTCTCCAAACATGGTACAAGTAGAGAAAGCCTGGGCCAGAATATCTACTTTATTATACTTATTACACAAATTCATGCTTGCTTTCTTTTTTTTTTTTTTGGCTGAGTGACTTAAGTTCTGTGAACCTATTTTCTCATTTGTTAAGTGAAGATAATTATGTCCTTACCACAAAATTGAAGAGGTTCATTTGTGTAAAAATATTGTACCTTAGAAATATAACTGCTGTGCAAGTATGCAGGCCACTGTTTTCTTGAACCTTCTCCTGTAGTCTGTGTTTGCTACTTAGTGGTATCGTTACTGGAATAGGTGATCTTAATCAGTGGTGGTGATTGATGATACAATTTTTATTTTTACTTTTTGATGATATAATTTTTAAATTAAAAAATTACTAAAAACTATTAGGCTTACCAGTGAAGTATAGCTGAAAATTGTATAAAAAATACTGAGCTGGGTTAGAATTTCTCACCATTTTCCTGGTGGAAAGCTCTTGTTTGCTTTCCTTGAATTCCTGAGGTTACCTGTTGGGCAGTTAACACAAGTCATTCGTCGTAGCATTGCTGGTAGCCGGCTCTGTCAGGTAAAACAACAGATATCCAGTAAATTGAAACCTACGAGTGGGGACTCCTGGAGTGTGCACCATGGTACAAAGTAGGCTCTTCTTGCTTAAGGGCAGTTATTTGTGGTCTTGGTAAAATCTTAGTCAAGACCATTATCATCAGCCATAGTCTTTCAGAAATTTTTAATTAAAGGAATGAAAAAAAGCCAAAGCAACTACTTTTTGATTGCTAGGAAAAAAATATCCAGTTCAAACAACAACAAAAAAGTGTGTTTCAGACATGTTTTCTGCCTTTAAGAATCAGTAGCTGGGAGGATTAGAAGTGGAGGACCCTAGTGCCATGCCTCACTCTGTCATTTAATAGAATTTACCTCCAAAGATTTTTTGATACTCTGTACCTGTTTCCTCATCTGTAAATAGAATAAAGCCTACTTACAGTTATCGTGAAGATTAAGCCAGTACATGCAAAGCACTTAGAACTCTTCAGTAACAGCAAAGAAAAGCCTTTGATTCAACAGATATTTAAAGAAGACCTACTCACCTCTCAAGTATTTGAAAAACACAGTGGGAAATCCTGTCTTCAAGAAGCTTACAGGAAAGAAAAAAAAAGGAAGAAACCCAGCAGCTCATGAGTGCCTAGCCCACTGCATCTCTGGCACTCTGCATGGGATTTCCACACATGGCCTCTTTCACCCTCACATGAACATATGAAATACGATTCCATCCACAACTCCTGTGTCAGCTTTCTGTCACTCTTAACAAATATGTGTGCTAATCAACTTATAAAGAGAAAAGGTTTGCTTGGCTCACAGTTTTGGAGGTTCTAGTCCATGCTGGGTCAGACCCATTGATGGAGGCCTCTCGTGGGGGAGGGAGCAGCACATCATAGCAGAAGCTATGCTAACTTCATGACCAGAAAGCAAAGGGGAAATGGGATTAGTATCCCACTTTAAGTATACGCCCCAGTGACCTAACTGCCTCCCACTAGGCCCCACCTCTTGAAGATTTAGCCTCCCAATGGGGCGACCCCAGGGACCAAGCCTTCAACCCAGTGAGCCTTTGAAGTTTGTGTGTGAAATCCTATGGCTTAGAGACTAGTTGCTTCCCCAGATATTACCATGTCCATAGCAATACCCAGAATTAGTCCCCAGAAAGAATGGAAGGCAAGGAGAGATTATAGAAGAGCAGGAGAAGAATATAGTGATTAGACCTTGCCGTCTCAGAGGCAGCTCTGGAATGGAAAGATTCCCCAAAATTCACTGTGAGTAGCAGCAGGGGAGAGAATGGCAGGTCTCTGACAGTCCATTTGCTCACTGCCAGCACAAAGGACCGTGGGCTTGGAATACTGTATTTGGTGTTTCCTGGACTGATACAGTATCAGTAGAGTCATTTAGAACAGTAGGTATTTCTGGAAAGACTTATTTATTGCCTGCATTTTCTTACACTAGCAGAACTTTAGAAAATGACAATATGCTAAATGCATTGCTAATTTACCAGATTCAGATTTTACTACTAGAGATTTCATCTGATACAGAAGATTGGCTATTGGTTGCAAGGATAACGAAAAATTGGGATTGTACAAATTATAATCAGTTTACTGATTATATAGATTACTGCCTTCTTTCTGAGTCTGATAAGTGTATACCAGCTACAGTTTTAAAATGCTTAAGTGGTTTTGAAGGCAGTGGCCCACAAAGTGGGTACAGTAAGGAAACTGCCAACTGCAGTTTCTAGGTACCAAAACTGAAAAATCCCTTTGGAGATTTGGAAGCTCAGTGTTAGCAACAGAAAGTTAGCAACTAGTCCATTGGCTCCAAATGTAGAATGATAAAAGGTGGGGGACTGTTAAATTTAAAAGCTAGGAAGCTGAAAGTCTAACTTGTTCCCCCTTCATCCAAAAAACAGGAGTAGAGCTCTCTTTATCCCTAAACATAGACTGTTTTAAAAAGAGAAAGAAAAATCGCTCGGGAGCTCCTTGTCAGTTTAGGATAGCTGCGATGTGAGAACATGAGCAAGTATTTTCATCTTTCATTGGTCTTGGGTCACGCAGAGACTGAAGAATCGTCACCTGCCCCTCACCTCCGTCCCCAGGTGTGATGATTAACAGCCACATGTGAATCATGCAGACTTGCTTTTTAATGCCAGCTCTACCACTCTCTAGCTGTACCATCTCAGGCAACTCATTCAATGTTTGAACTTCAGTCTCACAAAAATGGAAAAATGAAAAAAACGAATCGTCACTCATAGGTCACTGTGGGCTGCATTGGTGTGATGCACATTTAGTACTTGGCCCGCAGCCATACAGTAAGCACTTAATAGTGGCTTGGCTACAGCAGCGACAAAGACCTCGCGGGCTTCATAAATACAGCCTCGTGAATGCTCAGTAGGGAGAGGCAGTAGCGTTCTCAGTATCCTTCAGATAGAGTACATGATTTGGAAACCTTGTCAGTAATAACTTCTAAAATCTCTGTAACAGCAGTGAGAAGCAGTATGGTGAGAACAGGAGAAAGGAAGGAAGCGGGGAAAAGCAGCTTTACCAAATAATTGTGCTTTTAGGGTGCTTATAAATACTGATTTTCATTTACATTACTTCCTGTGTCGCCGCTCTAATTTGTAGACAAGCTGCTTATCAGGGGTTTTTGCTCCTGCCATTTCTCACCTTAAAATAATTTCTTTACTCCTGGTTTCAGTGATTATTTTACCTGGAATGGGCTCCACACTGATGTCAGGCCGGTGACTCCCTCCCTCGGTCCCATAGAACTGAAGCTGCTTTCAATCTCCGGCCTCTGCTGAAGGGACGTGGCAGTCATCCTTCCCCCCCCCCCTGGGAATTTGCAGTTGTGCATGCCTTCACCATGACCTAGGCCATTCTCTTTCTGTGTAGTTGCACATCCCAAATTCTTGTTTATCCCTTTGTGGGCAAGGATTTATTTTGGTAGTGTAATTTCATCTCCCTTCGTCAGGGCATGGAAGTCTTCTATTCTACTTCTGGACGTGAATGATCTGTAACTGGGTGAACTGGCAGCCGCTTTGCCCTGGGTGTCTGCCTAAGTACACAGCACATTCTACCTTCGCTGTTCATCGTATATTAATAACTCACTTGTATCTAGTAAAATCCAT